TTACCCAGAGAGGTGGTGGATGCCCCATCCCTGGAAACATTCACGGTCAGGTTGGATGGGGCTCTGAGCAACCTGATCTTGTTGAAGATGTCCCTGCCCACGGCAGGGGGGGTGGGCTACACGACCCTGAGAGGTCACTTCCAACCCAAACTATTCTATGATTCTGAGGCTGTCAGTTATGGGATTCACAGCAGTTACAGCAAGGATGCCAAACTGGAACAAGGAATCCCTGGAGAAAAAAATTCTGATCATGGAGAAGATTTTGGGGATGGACAGAGGGTTTACAGTACCTTCCAAGGTGCTATGAACTGAACCATAACATTAAGTAAGCATTAAAAAAATTCATTTCCCCATCTCTGTTATAACCCACAATCTTTCCTCTTTCTTTTTTGGTGAATGTGATCTTAAAACACAGGCAGGGTGCTATAGAGCAAGTCAGAGAAGCCCAAGCACTCCTCAAAGTTTCACCAAAGGGGCACATGCTAAGCAAAGCTCACACTCAGGCCCAGAACAGCAAGTCTTGTACCATTTACAGGAGACTTGTCTTGGCAGCCCATACTACTCCGAGTCCAATGGCTGTTTGGTTTCAGCTGTGCTGCTAGCATTTAATTAGCACACATTAACCACAAAAATGTGGTTGGACAAGGATAGAAGTAACTCCAGGTAATCTGACACAGGACTCCTAAGTTCACCTGTTCAGTGTTGCATGTTTCTATGTATGGACGGATGCGGCTTGTGGCAAGCAAATCACAAAGTCATAAATATTTGTCTGACTAAATTCCTGGAAACGCGTGTCTAGCAAAAGGTTGTCCCAGACACCCGGTTACCTTCTGGTTCACAGAGCAAGAAAACAATGTCAGCACATTTAGGCCACGTAACACTTGTCACTTGTCAATGTCCAATCTATAAAATAAAAACATTTTGCAAACCACTCAGCCTTTCAGTTAAAAGCAACACAAACCTGAAGCGTCAGATCAGTATCACACGAATAACTGTTCTTTCCCAGTCTATCCTTTCATCATCTCAAATAAAAGACAACATGCAACTACAAAGAGTACCAAATTTTTTTACTCTTCAAAAAAGTATTTAATTTCCTCACATAAAGAAGTTTTTTCACTGCCCCAAACTTACAAGCCAAACAGCTTCTCAGATTTTCTGAAGACTCTAAGTAGTTATAATAGGTTACACGTTTGACATTAACTCCACAGCCTGGAGTTCTTCTATATAAGGTTTGCCACCTTCCAAAGCTAGTGTACTTTTTTAAAAATCACATTAAGAGATGTTTCAGGAAGTCCTCGACTAAGCCATAAATAAATATTGATATATTGATAAAAACAACTGTAGGGTAGTAGTCAAGCAGATATACTTGAGGCAAGGAAGATGAACCATGGGCAAAAGAAATGCCCCAACACCCTGTAACACAGCTGCAGTGCCTGATCAGTTCTTTCCACAACGGTTTTGTTTACCGCTGAGCATGTACAGATGCTCCCAGTCCCCTCCTACGTTTTTATTCCGTAGACAGGCAAATATTGAAGTGTTAGCATCTAATACAGAGTAAAGTCGCCCAAACACGTATTTGGCCTGCAAAATAGAATACACATCTTTAGAAATCTACAAACATACATCTAAGCAAAACTGGACTGAGTCAGCTAAACATCTTACTATTTATCTTAAGGACAGCTAGGCTGTTTGCCCAGAAGACTAGGAGGAGAAACAGTCAGAAAGAACCTGATCAAGCAATGCAAAATTAAAGTACTACTTGAGAAATAGGTCGGTATTTACATCATACTTGGTGTAAAGTATCTGAAACACAGATAAATTTTAAAAACTTCCTTTTAACTATATCATGGAATTCACTTTTACAGAAAGTAAGATTTACATTATCAGTCGACCAATATTTTGTAATTGTAACTAAGTTATCTAATCTTATACCTCACATAATAACTGTTGGTAGAGCATTTATGAACAGAATTCCTTCCTTTTCAGCCTCTACGACATACATTCAAGTTGCTACCTCTTTTACTTTAATCAACTACAAAAAAAAAAAAAAAAGATCAACTTTATCATTCTCCATGCTACTTTAATTTCTCTACCCTTCTTTGTATACCCTTGCTGCTTGCTTTAAGGGTGACTCCTTTTCACTGCTCTAAAGGGCTGCTTCACAAATCACCTCCGTTGGTGATGCCGGGTGCCAAGGCATGCCCCTTCGTCCTGAAAGAGCACCCAGCAGATACTGGTGCTCTGGTGAGAAACAATGCCAATGCAAACACCTTCTGCCTGCCTCACCCCCAACTTTATGAGCCTCCTTCAGGAAACGCTAAATACAGTTTAATTCCTAAAATGAACTTTTACAGCCATTAGTACCACAAGCAAAGGGAATTTCAAATGCCATTTATTAAACCTCTTGTGTCTTACAGCAGTACAAACCACAAAACTTTTGATAAGTTTTCACAATCAGAATATTTTACATAAATTACAGACTAAAGGCATGTTGAATAGAGGTCAAAACACATTTTTACTGTGGCCACAAGCAGCATGCCTACTATACAATAAAAAACTGCAAGTTCTGAGGGGATTGTTTTGTTCTTTTTAATAGCTAATGAAAATTTACCTACAACATAATTCCATCCTCTGAGCTAGTAGTTTAATGTCACTCTCCTTTCAATTTCCTTTATGTTTATGATTTATAGCTGAACCTTTTTTTAAAACTAAATTTGAAAAACTAAAGACTTACCTTGAAAGCGGGTATATCCTAACGTTTCTCCTCGGAAACTCTTATAATATTTTACTCCATAAACTATAATTGGTCTTCTAAGAATATGTGCAAGTACAAAAATGTGTGTCTGCTCCAAACTCGCTCCAGGCTGAACCAAACACAAAGACAGACAACACTTGAAACAGAACTTATCATTCTCTACTTTGAAACTTGAAATATAGTCTCCGAATTGAGACAGAAAATCTTTTTAAGAGTGATCTATCTTTGACAGGAAAAGTGAGACTGCAAGACTATTACATATCAGTTGGAAATAAGCAAAAACATTTCAGCTTGCACAAGAACTTTATCTGCCAGTAATCATTCTTTGTCCTATTGCCCAGATTCAATCTAACATATTTCATTCCCCAGTTAGAAGTGAAACTCTACATAATGTTTAGTCTAAAAATAATTCACTCATCTGAGGAAAGGTTAAGGTAAATACCTTCTGATGATAGGAAAAGAGCACATCCAAAACAAATCACAAGAAAATAGCACCAAAATCATGTTTATGGTTTAAAAGAGGACTTAAAAATACTCCTATAGTTGGGAAGCTTATAGGAATGTAAATCTCATTTTGGAGGGGAGTTATAAAATATCAGCCTGCTGAAGTTTTAGTAGTGTAAGCTTACAGATTTGTAGGTATGTTCTAGGAGGTAAGTATTGCAGGAGCTAGGAAGCAGGACATTAAATAGACGATTGCATATTAGTTAATTCTACAGACTACACTCTGACACCAGAAGAAACAGACTTTTTTGTACTGTACTGCTTAATGGTAAGCTCAAAAATTAGAATTTTAAATGAACTTCTCCATCTTGGCAAGAAGAGTCTACCCAGTAATACTTTAAGATTGCTGACTTGAGAGGAATGTTTTCCTTTATACATGAAAATTCTTATTCCTGAAGAACACTGAGTTTTTGAAATTTCATTTCAGAAAGATTAAAACGTCCTTTCTAACAGCCACCTTATAAAGAAGCTTTCTTACCTGGCTCGCAAGAGAGAGTATGAATGCCCAATCTTCCTGCCACTGTTCCTCTCGCAATGAGAAATGTAAACCAAAGCTTTGGGAATACCACGATTCCCACTCTTTCCAGCGTGTATAGAACCTAAAATGTTAGGGAGAGAGAGAAAGAGTGGTAAAGAAAAATATTTACTCAACCATCTTACACCTGATAGCAAAATTCAACCCTTGTAATGTAATAATAGAAGACGACGAAAGAGAGCATACATCAATAAAACCGTGTTTTGTTTTGTTTTTTAATCTTCAGGAGACTCCATTTGCTAATCTCATTTAAGAAATCACTTGGGATTGCAATGCTTACAGCAAACATGCTGTAATAGATGCAAGTTCCTAACAGGCTCCTGGCTAGTTTCATACTTGCTGTAATAGGGTTTTTTTGAAGCCTTATTTAGGCTTATTTAAGTGTTGATGTACAGGGAACAAAACCAAGATGTTCCATGTCACATAAGAGGAGCTGCTCATTCTTGTCATACAAATAACACAGGTATTCTCTATTGTTGACCACATCATGAGCCAATTAACTCCAAAGTACTTGCGTATCAACTTCAAATAGACCACGGTTAAGAGGCAGAATCTGTTTTATATCACCTTTTGGAGCAAAGAGTATGGTAATTTCACATTATATGGAATAGTTATAAAGCAGCGTGGATAAGAATCAAATACAGAAAGTGGGACTAATCCGATTTACACTGAAAGTTTTAAAGTCACAAGATTTCTGTTTTTCTGTTTAAATTAAAATTAGCATTTTTGTATGCTAGTTTAGTCCCAATGTTTTATCTTTCTTAATCAATTACAAAGAAAAATGACCTACACATTAAAAAGCAGATGCTGGCTTTTTAAAATTTTGAACTCAGTCCAGTCACCGCACTATGGAAAGGCCACAACTTCACATTAGGAACACGGGTTTAGTGAAGAGTGCTAAGCCAACTTTTAAACAATGGCCTTTACTGTGAATACAAAGAAACCATTCTGAAGTTCAGCTTATTAAAAGAGTCATTGACATGAACTCATTTAATTAAAATCTGAGAAAATTAACAGACAGTGAGTGTGTGTGGAAGAAACCTTTCCTATGCTTTCAGTAAGATGTAATCATCCTAAAATCTTGGTGTCTATGACAGCTGTCACCAACCAGGCTGGCTTTCCCAAGTACAGCTAAAACCTTTGCATGGCTTAAAAGACCTATTAGTAAGACATTTTGATAGGTCTGTGTGCTTACTCACAGTAATACGTCTACCGGGAATCTTCCAGATCTATCTACATTCCAGTTTTTATCCAAATACATCAACTGCTTCCATCTTTGCAGCTGATAGATATTTTGTCTGTTTTTCTCCAGAAATGTCTAACCAAACACCTTGTGCTAAATGAATTAATTACTAGGTCTCCTGAAAGAAGTTTAATCAGATTCTGCTAAAAAAACAACAAAAAAAAACCCCAAAAAACCCTACCCCACAAAAGCTCTACTGTGGAAGTGTCTTCCTAAAGAAGTTTCTTCTTTGAGTTAGTCAGCCGTAGACACAGTTATCTGTAGATGTTCACAGGAGGTAGCCTTATAGACAGAAGTCAAGGCTTAAGATTTTTATCTCATTTAAAACAAACTTCTCAGTTTAACACAAGAGAACTGAACACATTCATAAAAAAAAAATAAAATTCTGAGAGCCAACTTAGGGCATATGCCCGTTCTCCATTGAAAGCTAACGGTGGAATACAAAAAGGGACAAATCAGTAAACTCAAAAATTGTAATCATTTAAAAGGTGAGTGGAAAAGACTCCACAGGCCAGAGCCTCTGGGAACTTCACTATTGAGCTTTTTCTGAGTACCAGACACTAGACTGTCTCTAGTAAATAGATTCTTCTTTGTTCAGCATCTAAACAAAGATAACAAAATGAGGCCAAATTAGTTACATGAGTGTTCTGTGTCTGACTGTAAAAATACCCTTTTTTAAGTGTCTTTGTGAAGGCTTTGAAGAACAACTGGACTAAACAAAAGTTTAAGCATAATGTTGTTGAGACTAGTGATTGCATTTAAGAGCCTATTCCTTCAGCAACTATCATTAAAGCCAATGACGACAATGTCACTTCCTATCTGCTACATATCCTATCCCACAAAATTAAATGTATCTTGGCCAACACAGAATCTATACAGCAAGTATAGGATGTACAGGATGATCAATTTATGACAGAACTTAATTTTTCCGATGACAAAATAGCAAATAAGATTATCCAGACTGAAGGTAGGCAACTGTATTCAAACAACTATAAAGGAACACATGAATCAGTTAAAAAAAAAAAAAGAGTGCTTCCAATAAGGATAAAGATTAAGTAAATTCAGAGTAAAATGCAAATTGTCTAGAACATGAACTAAAAAGCTTAACCAGATTCAATACACTCTAAATAATGAGTGTTACATTAGATACAACAGAGTCAACAGCAGTTAACACTAACATTTTTGAAAGATTGGTTTAAACCTCAATAGTTTGCAGCATGTTTTTGGATACCATGCTTGGTTTTGGATACCATGCTTGTTTTTGGATACCATTAAGAACAAAACCTGATCTATCATAAATTTCTGTTCTGGCCTCAGGAAAACCGCTTGTGATGCCAGGGACATTCCTGCATGGTCGAGATGCACGCTCCATTATAAACAACTCAATAGTGACAGATCCGTTTGGAGACAGGTTCTCAGGAGAATTGTTACTGAAGCACCACTTTATGGAATCCAGCTCTGGATGCTAATTTCAGGAGTTTTCTCCAAACAGCAGGCAGTTGGGGACAGTAATCACAAACGCTACTTATAGGTACCCCTAAAATTAACCTCTGTTGTTGACTTCCTGTACAGCACATGGAGCAAGGGGACAGGCTCTTTCGCTACTATGCCTGCTGATGGTGTTTCTCTTGACTACAAGAAAATCATAAATCTAATCACCTGTGTCTTACATTATTAGTCTTTATCAATCTCTTCCCTTAGTCCCATTACACACTTGAGAGCTGGTGGACACCGCTGGGCGTCCAACTGTAAGCATTCTTCCGCTAGCAGAGGCAAACCACAGTATCAGACTAAAGAAAGTTGCCAGTGTAAAACAACAAAAGTTGTTTTATAGAATGATAAATTAATTCTATGGCCAAATGACAGCATTAGTTAAATGTCAACACTCTGCTTTACTGCCATTACTTTAGCAGACAGAACAGGAACAAAAAGAGCAATACCGAATAAAGCTGTAACTAAGCAGATGGAATGAAAATACTGAAAAGTTTATACAGGAATAAAAGGCTACCTTCTATCAACGATCTTCTGCAAAGCTTCTACCAACAGCAGCAAGGCATGGCATGTGCATGATTTACATTGCAAGTAAATTCCAGTCTTCACTGTGGTTAGCGCACTCTTGACAAGCACACAGCATAAAATATTTTACTCCGTTTTAAATGCTATTTGCTGAATATCACATACCGTCACCGAGTTCAGAATGTCCAAGTTTCCAGTGCTGGCATTTAAAATACGCTAGATCTAGATTACTAGGTGAATCACGCTGTGACTCAACATCTTTGAGGCACACAATCCACAGTAAATTGGGGAGTGGTGGTTTTGTTTCTTTTTAATACAATATTACTATCAACTACTACGCTACACGGAAAGCTATCTTTAAAGTTGACATAAAAACTAACTTACCAATGTGAGCAGTCATGTAAACTGTCATGAAGAGCTTTCCGCAGCACTGAATCCTTGTCATAAATGCCCCAAGTGGCTTGTAGTACTGAATCAAGCAGGCAGTCCCCTGCAGTCCGATTCCAAAGTGCGTATAATCTGCTGTCCAAGCGCGTACCCAGTTCCAATGACCAGTTAATAATGGGAGATTCCTCTTCTAGCTCTGCAACATAACAATAACCTCCTTTAAAACCTATATTCATTTGAAGTCTCAGAGAATCTGAACAGCACGGTAATGGCATAATCTCAACAATTTACCCATTTACATGAATAAAACTAAGTTTTCCTTCATACAACAAAAATAAAGTGAACTACGATGGCTAAAGGCATTCCTTGGGCAAAACGCTGTCAAGAAAAGAAGAAAAAAACAAACCAAAACAAACCATAGCCTTAAACAAAGCATCACATCATTTCTTTGAGGACTATTACTGAAGTGGAAAGATTTGTTCAGTTTTCTTTAAAGAGCTTGTGACTTAAAACTGTAAAGCTTTAAAAATCTTTAAAATTCAAATATACATTACAAACGTAATTTCTACAGACTCCATTCTCTCTCTGCCTCATAAATAGACTGTAAATGTTAAAATAATTCCAGAGTGAAGAATACCTTGAAAGTATCAAATCTGTATTTAAAACAAATTCAGGCAACAAAGCCACATATATAAACACACGCACTTTTTTTTTTTTTTAAATAACAGAAATATTCTCTAATGAAAAGCAAGGAGAGATTCTAGCCATTCTCAGAGCACTGAGGGACAGACTTTTTGGTAAGGCCTGTAGCGACAGGACAAGGGGGAATGGCTTTAAACTAAAGGGGGGTAGATTCAGACTAGATATAAGGAAGACAGGTTGGACAGAGCTCTGAGCAACCTGATCTAGTTGAAGATGTCCCTGCCCACGGCAGGGGGGTTGCACTAGATGACCTTTAGAGGTCCCTTCCAACCCAAACTATTCTATGATTCATTTACCTTTCTGAACATCTCTATCAAGTACTTCGTCAAATAACTTTTCTTGGACTGTGGGTGGTAAGTCTTCAATATCTGGAAAAACAGAAAGCAAATACAAAAGTAACTTAACGTTACTGTAAAAAGAGACACATTACCAGCTGATGCTCAGGAGAACTTCGGCAACAGCTTTTGCCCTATCATCCCTAATGTCTCCTCCGAAAAGCTATTATTTTCAGATCTGCCATTTGTGACCATAGGCTTCATAGAGCACACTGAAGTAGATACGTATCTCAGACTGACTGTCATACCTTTTATGCAGAAAGGATCGTCACAGCACACGTAGGGTAAGAATGGATTTCTCTGAAGGAGAAAGTGAAGTAGAGAACCACTTTGAGGTGGAAAAAATAAAAAAAAAAGAGTATTTTCAACCCTACTATATTTAGGACAGCATCAATCCTAAACTGTAGTTTTCCACCCATCTGAATGACTTCCCCTCCCCGGTCTGCCCCAATGGACAGGTACAGTTTGCCAAGAGACTTGTTCTAGTACAGAACACCCACTTTCTTACTCATTTCATGCAGACTTCCACAAAATAGTTCAGAGAACCCCAATGGTCTGCAGGCCATGGTTTGCAGGTTAGAAAACAAGAAACGGGAAAACTATTGAGCTAGGACACGGAAAATGCCACTACTGACAACTGTTTCAAGAGCTTTACAGACAGGATCTGCAACTGTGGATCTACTGTTATTAAAAAAAAAAAAAGGAAGAAAATTGTGTAATGGGCAAAACTCTTGTGACTCCTGTATCACATAAAACAATAAACACACGTTCTAAAACTCAAACATTTGCTACACCTTAAAAGATTTGCTCATGGCCTGCATTTCAATACAGCATAAGTAGTAAAGGGTTGCTAGGCAGATCAGCAACTAGAGAAACTTTGCTAGCTTCAGCACAATTCTGTAACTTAAATAAGGGAGTAAATCAAATAGTTCAACAGAAACATCTAGTATCCCTTCAGGCAGTCTAGGGGATAATGACTGGGCTCTAAGCAGTATTTCAAGGGCAAGAATATCTCTCTTAATTCTGGTGTCAGATCTGCCAGTCCTGCTCAGATGTCCAACACCCGAGGGCTTCTAAAAGTGAAGTCCACATTTAGGCACATGCGTTGCTACTGAAGCATACTATTGTTTGGTGCAGGCAGGGTGTTGTGGGGTGGTCTTTTTTTTTTTGTATGATTGTTCTTTTTAAACTAAAACTGGCTTACAGTGGCCAGCAATCAATTTAAAAAAGTTTTGCACTCTAATGTCTCTGCATTGGCTCTTCAGGAGGATCCTATCCATTTGTTTGAAAGATTGAGTGGAGACTGGTTCCTAAACTATATCATATAGGTAATAACTGAATACGATTGTGTGATTTATACCGCTATCCTTGGAAATGCTGTCTTGAGACCAACTGCTAACTGTTGACTACAAAAGATGTTCAGTTGACTAAGTGTGATGGAAGTGGAAATACACTGACAGTCTTGATGTACAGAAGCTTTTGAACATTCTTATTCCTTAATTATTTAATGGCTATTACATGTGTCAAAAAGCCGCACAGTGGTTTAAGACGTGTCTCTTGAAAATACTGAACAAATTCCTCAGTTCTGGTGAGAGCAACATTTCTCATGTGTTACAAAACCATTCTGTTGCCCCTCTTTCCCTTCTCTCCCCCAAATGGCAATGAAGTGTTAGTCTCTAGACACTTCGTACACCCACACCGCCTGCCTCTCATACGTGACCCACAGAATAAGACTGAACACAGCACCTCAAACAGATAGTTATAGACAAGTGGTAAATATTATCCAGACTTTTTGAAGAGGAGGAGATGAGGTAACACTCAACCAAAGAGGTTCCAAATACAACTCTTACAATGCTACTGCTTTATAAAAAAGACAAATGGATCTGCTGATTAGTACAGTTTCCATCTAAACATTTTCTTACTTCTGGTAGCACTTCTAGTAAGGGAAACAGCTACTGAAGATTAAAATCTTCTAATAGCTTTTTGTTAATAGACAAACGTTCTCTTGATCGTGGAGTACCTCAAAAGTATTCAGAAAGTGCTATTGCTATAACCAGATACAAATGCAAAGAATAGCTCTGGGCCTTAATGGAAAGAACCAAAAGCTAACATAGCTATGTGAAAAGTCATATTAGAGCCCAGAAACTTCTGGGCTCCAATCTTAACTTTAAACACTGCCTTTCCGTAGAATACACCACTTTTCTTCAATTTCCTCATGTCTAAAGAGGACAACAGATGTTCACTTCACAAGAACAACATATGGGTTGAAGTGTGAAAAAACTGAATATTAATAAGCAAATTCAATTACTAGATCTGACCTAAGCTATTAAAACTTAATAAATAAGACTTATACACACACACACACACGACCACCATCAGAAAGTCAAAGTATACATCCAAAACAAGCAATTCTCAACTAGGTGACAAAAAAAGTCTTCCATCAGTAAGAATAATTTTGTAACTACCTGCAGGTAACGTAAACGTTACAAGGTCAGTCAGAAAATAGCAAGCAAAGTCTCCCTTTCGTTGATGAAGAGATGCAGCAATTTCACGACGAATTTGTTCTGTGACCTCTGGACATACCATGGCAGGAATGCACTTCGCTGCATGTTGTGACACCTGTAACATAACACGGTTACTGCACTCATCATTATTTCTAGTTAAATATGAAGACTTAGGAGTGATAACCACCAGCGGACAGTAATTTGTTAATAAGTAATACAACAGAAGTATAAACATTGGTACCCTGAAAGATTAAATGTTCAGTGACTCTCAATGAATTCATGTTTCATTTGTCACATAGTTGATAACATAAAGCTGGTTAAAAACCACTTTAAATCAAAGAAGTGAATTAACAGGTGACCAATTCCAGCAGGAAAAGGAAAGCAAATAAAAAATAGACAAGAGCTAGATAACAATAGGAAATATACCTCAAATCTTATGCATAAGCCTAGCCTACATTTAACAAAGAACTTCATTACCACAGCACAAGACAGTTTCCTACAAAGAATCTTCCCAAACACTATTAAGCTAAGATATTTATATTTCTCCAGATTCTAATCATCACTGGCAGCAGGAACTCGTTCAATGATACAGAGCAAGTAACACTGGGATGACACTGGATATATTAAAAAAAAAACAACACGAAACTTTAGAACACACGTTTTCACTAGTTAATATCCTAGCAAAGGAAAGCATCACTGTGGCTCAAACACTACTAAGCATTTTCACAAATGGTATGTTGAGTACGTATTCCTAGACACTGAAACAAAACCAAACAGAAAAAACTGTAAGACAGTATTTCAGCAAATTAACTTGTTTTTAAACGTGTAACTCCATCCACCCAGATAGCTATGTAAGCAGCACAAAACTACTGATATTAGCCATATATAAATACATATACTCTTCTCAAGGTTTTAGCTATATTTGTCTTGCTTCTTCTACTCTTTTTAATTACTCAGCCCTACGCATTCCATCATCCTTACACACTTCTCAGGCATGCTACTTTTCTCAGGAACACAGGCTTTCAGAATTGCATTAAGCATCAAAAGAAGGAAGGAGGCAGAATAAAAATTTGGCTCTGATCAGGTGAGGAACCAGAAGTCTGAGATGAAGAACACAGACAAAAAAAAGATAACAGAATTACTTATGGGCCGAGGAGGGTGGCAAAGATGGAGGAGGGTGGCAAAGATCACCAGAAATGAGGTGGACCGTCCAAAAATATACAAGGAAATGGAACACGCAAGAGCAAGGAGACCACAGAGAACCAACCAGTCTATAAAATGGGCTAAGAGTGGAAAAAATGCAGCAATTTTGCAAATAAAGAAATTTGTCCTTCTCTAGAAGAGAAGCTCCCAAGAAAACCAGGGAATAAAGACCAGGTAAGACGTACTCATTAACAAAACTCAGAAAAAACTACGCTGTCATTGATCTCAGTGTTTTGCTTTCAGGGCATTTCCTCTCCCCCACCCAAAGCACAGGAAGCTTCACAATAGCTCACTTCCACCGCCAGTAAGGTCAGAATGTGTGCCAAGACTGCTCATTAAGGAGAAAACTGAACATCCTCAAAACCACCACATACATACAGTCTTAAAGTAAACTCGTTTCTTAAGTACAAACATCAACAAAGGCACAAAGCAGCAATTCATGTATTCTAATAATATTAGCCCCTATCTTCCAGCAAATAAAGTTACATGTCACTGGCTGCAAACAATGGTACAGTTACATAAGGTTCCTATTCAATCTACACAAGGGCCAAAGTAACTCACCTCTGTAAGCAAAATTGCTAGCATATCTTGTCTCTGAAAGCGTATTGCCAGATGTACAAGCGTGTACCCAACGTCAAAAGCAGAAGGGCGATTTAGCAGGCGTACTTCATCTGCAGTAAGCTGGCGGGCAATATCTCCTCCTGATGACTTGTAAGCTTCAACAGCAGCTAAGTCACCTTCTACAACTCCTGAAGAAAAGAAAAAAATACAATTCATTTTAGCTAGTGAATGAGCCACTCTGGATCAAACCACCTTATTTAACACAGTTTACCTCTGTCTATTCTGATACAGACCTAACATATGAAGATAAACTGCATACCAAGAAACTTGCAAATTTTTATTTCTTTTTTTAATCAGAAGACTACAAAATATTTACACTTACCTCACCTCCTAGACCATTTCCACTATCCAGACTTAGAGCCATCTTTAATAGAGAAGTAAACAGAATACTTCTAATTCACTATTGAGAAGCAGCCCTATTTGCAGCAGCTCGAGAACAGAAGAATAAGAGCGCAGATCACAGAAACGAGAAAACCCTCTCTCCCCCTATTTTCTGTAGCTAAACCTCCTTGCCAACTCCTAAGAGTCAGCAGTTGAGCAGAGGCCATGCATGAGGCTGGAAATTGAGACTCAAGTCTATCCTTCACTCAATTTGCTTACTAAGACTCAAAAATTGATCAGAAGGGAAAGAGGTTAGTCTCAATCAGGGCACTCACTCCCATTCAGGACTAAGATTCAAGCAACAGACCAGAAAAACAAACAAACAAAAAACCCACCCCAACACCCCACCCACCCCCCCAACCAAAAAACCCCACCAAAACAAAAAAAACCCCAACGCAACAAATTGAACTGCCTACTACCAGAGAAGCACACTAACTGCTGGGTTGCTGGCTAATCCAGGATTTAGAAAAGCATTCTTAGCTTGGCCAAAAAGTCTATCATTTTCAATATGGAGATTATAAAACTTTCAGAAGAAACTCAGGGGAGGAAATGGATTATCAGTGCAAGTCATTTCTCTACAAAGTTATCAGCTCTGCTTCGTAAGCCTCTACAGATGAAAGTTAGATTATTCATTTCAATGATGGTCTAAAGCAGGTTAAATTCCAAAATACAAACTCAACTGCAAATTTCAGTCATACAACATCTACCCATTCATCAAGGACTCAAGAGTCCTAACAAGCCAGGGCAGAATGAAAACAATACAGGACGACAATTTCGTAGTTTTCTGATGCATGTTTCTGGTCTGCCTGTACGGGAAGACATTCCTGTTCCACTCCAGCGTTAATGTCTCATTCTGCTTAAGTGCCTGCCTGTCTATTCACCCCAGATGAGTTAAAGAACCAGTTAGACAAGAGTTATGTTTGTCCAATTTTAGTTCTTGTTCCATAAGTTAGAACTTTGCTGATGAAAAAATATTTTAAAGAAAGGAGCCGCTACTGATGGAGAAAAGCTATTTCAGTGAAGGGAAATGAACACTGAAAATTCATTGGTTTTCAAGACGTTCTCCGAAACATTCATCAAAGGAATGCAATATGGGATGTGTGACCAACATAGCTGTGCTCCTGTTGCAACATTTCCACTTCTAGGTGGAACTAAAGCATACCAAAGCAAAAGGCACGGTTTTGTCAATACACGCTGTATCCATAACAAGAATGCTAAGTGTAGCATTTTAGTTCCATGCAATTGCATTTATGCCACTGATAAGGCAATACCAAGGCTGCTTGTGATATATCATTCCAACCAAATGCAGCAAACTGACTTGTTGGGTTTTTTGGGTTTTTTTTTTTAGACATGTATATATACATAGATATCAAAGTCAGACAATTTCTCATGACCTGCCCTCTTAAAACAAGTCATACTACAGCTTTGGCACAAGATCACCTGTTAGCAAACACCCAAGAATCCACAGGGAAAGAAGAATTTTGATAGAAGAGCAGATTCTCTGCTACCTTATGACACCTTCAATTTTTTATTATTATATTAATTTAGGAAAGACATCTTGTTAAAGACCAATAGCCACTTCCACTTTTATATTTTAACCACTTCTACTGACAGATGGAAAAATTCCAGTTACCATGTCTGCAACTTCCACCACACCACCCAATGACAAACATACCAAAGACCACCCAAGACTGGTAGGTAGCCACTCTGACAATCCAAATACCCCAGACTAATTTCAAAACTCAAACAATTAAACATCCCAAAAATGATCTTTCAATGACAGATACTTAGACCCAAATCACCATAACAGTTCCAGTCAGCCAGCCTGTCAAGTATGCAGTAGTACACTCTACTACAGCCTTAAGTCAGCGCCGGGTCAATTCGTATTTGTCATTATTCTTTTAAGTCCCTACCCTCAGCTGCTAAGGCAACTTATTACCATCCCACTCTTAACCAAACCTCAGCAACAACTGAGGTCTAGGACTGATGCTGAGAGGCCATCATGTGAGGTCTGGCAATGCCTTCAAGCACTAACTACTACAAGCTGCAATAAGGATCCAAATCTGTGACATGTGCTATAAGCAGCACTGCCAGTTCTTGCAGTTTATTCCCATGTCTTGCAATACTTGACATTCCTAAAAGCCCCATGTCCTAGAATTAATTACTAAAATTGTTATATAAGCTGTCATTTAAAAAGTACGTTTCTAAACTTCACTGATGAAGTTTAAGCTAAAGATCAATACATACATCAAAAACAGGCAAACAGTATATGCTTTCTAGGCCTTATTTAAAAAATTGAGATCGTAAATGTGTTCTAGGTATAGGGTTGGCAATACTTTATCTAGTAGTGAAGAACAGTCATGGCGTGCTAAATAACACATGAAACTAGCACAGTTACAGCTCACAGAGGGATGGTGATGTGACTATGTGCAAAAATGAAAAAAGCATTAGGAAATGTTTAGATCAAGTCCAGACAAACTCACTTCCGGATGCACTAACCATTTTGTAACTGAGTCTCAATCGATAAACATGACACGCAAAATCAAACCATACAGAGCTCATTCTGCATAATTTTTTTTGCACAGAGCCCATTACAAGTTTATTTCCTCATAAGAAGCTTCCTCTTGCAAACCTGCTGCATGCTGTAATGTCTGGTACTAACCTACACTGAAATACTGTGACCCAAGTACGCAGGGCATCACTACTGCAGGGCCTATACTCTATGGTCATTACAAACCTCTTTGGCCCCTCTTAGCCACTGCAAGAAAAGTCCAAATTTCTCTTTACTTGTTCTACCAAATATCTACTCCATTTTAGCTGCTTCAAAAGAACAGGGAAAATTCCTGAAAGCTTGTCAGGTGCCAGCCTGTTTACAGTGCCAGTCAGTACAACCCAAGGCTGCAGTGAACACTGGGCAAAAATATAGTAATAACAGGCAGACTTGCCAGAAATCTGAACTAGAAAACACAAATCTTGCCCCAAAACAATGGGGCAAACTTGCCTACATGCAACATTCATAAGAACTGCCTGCAATCCCTAAATTCAGTATCACCACTCCAAAATGAGGTCTTAATATACTTTTATTGACAATAAGAGGCACATTCCTACAATGGCTTTGATTTCTGTGAGATGAATGGGAGCCTCCAATTCATTAAGTCTATTTAAACAAAGCTTAACAAAACACTATTTACAAGAAATATTGCAGAAATATTTACAGATGTTATAATTCACTACATTTCATAACACACAAGTGCCTGATTACTTACACAAGCAGCCTTTGAATCGTGTTCTGATACAGTGCTGTGCCAGTTGGATTACTCCCCACCGACACCCACTGCATTCCTCAGACTGTTGAAATGTCAAAAGGAAAAGTGGCATTTGCCTGAAGATTGTTCACACAGCACCCGTGAGTGCTCCAGCAGCTAGACCTCTTGCGAGGGCATAGCTCTGATTAGTTACAAGAGCTACACAAATGCAAACAGATCCTTATGACTCAATGTCTACTTCTGATCCACAGCAAGAATAGCTTTTCTTTTAAGTGGACTCCAGAAATGTTAGTTTGGTATCATTGCAACTGAAGACACCAGTCCATGCCTCCCCCTCCCCCCCCAAAGTTGTGCATTGCTTAACACACAAACACATGACTATAGCCTGACATCCTAAGTGACAGGACAGAATGCCAAGTGCTGCACCCAAGCCATGAGAAAATACAAGTGCAAGTTAGTATTCTGCGTTTACAGGTTCAACTGTGTTCCCATTTGCAGTTCAGACATTTCCTCTTATTGGAATATTCTTTCACAGCACTGGGAGCCAAGGTTTTTTCTTCTTCTAGCAAAGCCCCGACTCTTACAGATAGCACAGATCGGGAATATGCAATCTCAGTATACATGAGAAGATACATGATAGAGATTAAGAAGGTTATTTAAAAAGACTAAACTTAAAACACATTAATCACCCAATAACAACTATTTATACCATCTTGATCCTGCATTTTTCCTGCCACAACCGTTACAACCATCTTCTTTGTTAGATATCAGATACTACCCATAGATTAAATAAGCCCGTAATTAGCCTAGCTGCTAAAACCAAACTACTTCAGCTAAGGTGCTATTAAATTTATTCTTTAGAACATGCAAATATTTATAGGGTTTAGTGCAGTTAAGTAAACTTGGAAAATATGCAAGAGTTTACAAACATATCTAAAAAACTAAATCCTGTTTGCCCTAATTGCACAGTCCCAATGACTTCAGAACACACGAATGTAAAAGTTTCCAGAGAAAATACTATAGCAGCAGCCTTTATTTATTTCACTGTCTTTCTGATAGTTCTGGAGCACACTGGCTGGCACAACTTGCAAATGAAATAGGCAGATTCTTTCAGATAGACCAATGCAGTTCTGCCATTTTACTACAGGGCAGCAGAGAGGCTGGGGGAGACAGAACTGGGCAGCAGCACTGCCTTAGTGGGTCAGGACAGGGGCCCACCAGCTCCACGAACAGTTCCCAACAGCAGCAAGGTTTAAATATGCAGCAAGAGAAACTAAAAGCAAGTAAGAACAGAGAATAGTAACCCTCACTTCAACTGCGTTCACTGTCAATTTAGTTAAAGGTTCCTCAACGATACCTCAGTTGAACTGCTGTGGAGACAAATGAGCAATTGCAGAGCAGCAAAAAGCAGTGGGTCAGACAGCCTACAGTAGCTGATTCTGCAGTAGGCTCCTGACCCTCAAAAACTGTAAAAGCATCAC